TTTGTTAAACGCGTGTAATATCCGCCACCCTCCTGTAGCCTTGCGCCACAGAAGGTCAGAGAGCTGTGAGGTGAAGTTGACTCCCTCACATGACTCGCATCCAGGCGATCGTCAAAAAACTTGTCGATCGCCTCGACTTTTACTCGACGCAGTGGCCACTGCTTCATGACACAATATTTTGTGCCTGAAACTAGGTCAATCTCGTGTCGAGTAACTTTTTCTTTTAGTGACTTACACGGTACGGATTCAGAGTATACATCTCTATATTTGATCAAATACTTATACAAAGGATTTGGCTTCAGTGAATCACATAATTGCGATGTGTATCTCTCAATCCGAGTCTTCTCATCAAGGACACTTTCGTTCATTGATGAGCTGCTGAGAACTTGTTCATTCTCGGCAAATACTGTTGCTGACCTGATATCGGTCACGTATTCGTCCTCTGCGGCGATTACACTGATCTGCTTGACTTTGCCGCTACGCAGATCGTGCAAGATCTTTTTAGGCTCAAACACAGGCAACAGAAGTATCTACGAAGTTAACTGTAAAGGCGCGATCAGATCAAGCGTACATGCGGATCCGTCATTAACCAAGATGTTCAACGTCTCAGTTACTTCCTGGGGACTTAATCCCGCAGGCTCGATGGAACTTGTTCCATCGAATTCCTCTAGCTGTGGCTGCGCAACCACAGCGAGTCCTCTACGATCAACTCTCCAGTTGATGTAGGATTACCGTGTTACCGCTTCTGGGAAACCAATTTTTTTTCTGTAAATGCTGCCCTTGAGATAAGCGCTCTTCACTCGACTTATTTGAGTGGTGGACCCTCGGCGCTGCCTGTGCTTGTTCACAGCCGCCGGCAGCTTGCTCCACAGCGTGACTGTCGGAAACACTGAGTTTTTGTGCAGTCGTACCAACGACCGAACCACAAGTGAGTCCATCTCATTCACTCGTAGTACATTTACACGCTTGTAAGCGCTCCAGACGTTCATTGGATGGCAATCTGATGAACAAGCGACAGGCATCTTCACAGTTTGATGCTGCCAGCTGACCCATGGCTCGTACCTTTTTAGGCATAATAATTCTAGGATGACATCAACTTTGTCATCCAGATTGAGTACGATGAACTCATCATCGTACTATTTACCTTTAAGCGTGTAGTAAATTCCCACTACACGTTTCGTTACTATTACGGATGCGCAAGTTGCAACATTCTTATAGCGAGACACGTCATGCTTGTAGTCGCTCGGCCTTGATGCTTTGTGGTGGTGGACCTTATGGATTCTATCACGCTGGCGTAATCAAAGCTAGCGCACCGTCAGCCTCGTGGAAGGGTCTTGCGCTCAACATATGTAAGCCTTCGATTATCTAGCGACTGGCATCGGACAAAGTAGTTCGACGCCCCACAGTCAACTAGGGAGCGAAGTGAAATGTTCGTTGTCACTTCGATCTTCAAGGTGATGAGCGATACCTCATTACTGGGAGCAGCAACACACAGTGACTGTGTGCTGGGAGCAACCTTCGTCAAGAGTCCCGCGAACGTTTTTGACGTTGCTGGATCAGTAGGGCACTCCGACACTAATGACCCCGACCGGTTTTTGATGGTTTGCCACGTTGTTGCGAATTCACAGTAACGTGGTACCCACGTCGCAGGCGCTTCTTGGAAGACGGACGATCATCACTCCCAGTGCTACGAGACACTGGGTGTGGAACACTACACTCACAAGCGTAGTTACCCATCTTTTAAAAGCAATTGCACTTATGCGATCGCGTGTATCCTGGAGAGCGAGGTCGCTCGCTCTCTACATAGGAGAGGTCCATTGGCTCTGGACTTCCGCCCTCCTGTAGTCTCGGTGGACGAAAGGATTCCGAGTGGACGTGAGCCTGTTGTAGGATGAAGTCCTACTGTTCCGCTGCAGAGATCGCTTGATCCAGCGACTCCAACCCCAAGTGGAACAGGTGGGTCTTGACAATGCAATCTGTCAGACCCTTGATGAATACATTACCCTGCGTGTGTCCATCTATTCAATTAAGCCAGATACAACTAAAAAGCTATCATACGTGTTAATCGTAAGCGTGTATGTCACGCTTACCCCGATTCATGTGAAGTGAGCCCTGCATCGGCATTAGGCGGTATAACTAAAGTCGTGTGCTTAAGCCGCTCCTTGAAGACATCATACGTTGGGAAAACGTATGTTCTTTGCCGCTTAAACCCTAAGGCTTAAGCTTTGGCACGTCCAGCCAAATTGGACATAGCGAACTTGATCTTCATCGCATCGTCATCGATGCGACGAGCCTCAATGGCATCGTCCAGTCCAACGAACCATCTTAACAAGGAGTCGCTTTCGACTATCTTGTACTTGGCAACATCAATCTTCAAGGACTCGGGTCGACGCATGCACGTCTACCCGGCAGCAGCAGCATTTGCCTGCTGTTGTCTCAACAGTTTATACTGTTGAGCACCCTGCTGCATCAACAAGTCAGCTTGTTGAGCGCCTTGTTTTCTCAGCAGGTCTACCTGTTGAGAACCTTCTCCTCTAGCAAGGTGAGTTTCTTTACAACTTCGTCAAGTTCATGTTGTATGAGCTTGGCGATGGTTGCATATTGTTCGTCTCCGCTAAGAGAGAGCAACATAGCACCAACGGCAGGGTTGCCGATGGTTTCAGCCATACGCTGAACCGCATTCCATTCGAGATCTCTCAAATTGCGAAAGTCATCACGCGTTGCGTGATGACGTTTTTCTTCGCTAATTCCATAGCGGATGGTACGGTGGTCGTTGAACAGACCACGAAGTGCTAACAGGTGTAATGGGGCACCCTCCGACTATACTGATGACATTATAGTTTACCTTCACTAATTACAGTGAAAGTAGGTACCTAATAACCTCTATCACACAAAGAGGAAGAGGAAGCTTTACTTCTAAACAACACGCTTAGAAGTAGGAAAAAGAGAACTGTATTTAATATAGTTAAACTATTTAATAAAACTAAGTCATTAATAACCTTGTCTTAACTATATAAAAGTACAAATATGTATGCTACCTTCGTGCCCTCCATTCATTGCGCGCGTCCATCGGTCATTGGTCAGCGCCTTGGTTGATATAATGGCCTATCTTAGCCAACCAGAGGGCATCTCTAACTTCAAGGAGATCTAGGAACAATATTATAAGAAAAGATAACATTGTCAAATTTATAAGTAATAATGATATTTTTATTGACACTTCATATAAGTGTCAATATTATGTAACAGGCTTACCCCGAACACAGTGCCTAGGTTAATACACTTGAAAGTTTTTGAACATTTGCTGCACTTGTACCAATTTGCTTTTTTGCTCTAGCGATTCCTGGTTATTATCAGGCTTGGTTTTTTTTAAATGAAGTAATTGTAAATCCAAGATTTATGTATACCAGCAGAAGCGCCCGACACAGTAATGTTTTGCATCCTGTTTGACTGGAGTAACCGTGCTAACACTCGACCATTTGAGTAATGAACAAGTCCTGACTAATTCCATTAAATCATGTGTGTCAGATGAAATGTGATGGGTGACGGGTTTATTATTTGAAATTTGATTGTATAGTGTAAAGAATACAGAGAGTTGAAGGGTGTGTCTGATGTATGTCCGGAAAATTTGGTACATGTACTCCATGGGTACCCATGGGTAAGTGGGTTGGGTAAAGCCAATTACCCATTCCCAGCCCATGAGTCTGGTTATAAGTAATTACCACTGAGTCTGAGTCTGGGTATTACCTCTACTACTGGTGTAGCTGGTAGAATTACAGGGGTAAAAATATAGAGACTCCGAATATTTGTTTAAATTCGAACAATTAAACCGTTAAGTGAGCAGCAGTACCTCTTGATAGTAAGCAAAAGTGGACACGAACAATCAACCGCCTGTCTGTTCATTAAACAGACGAGTCGTACAGTTTATGGCCTGCAGGCGTTCGGTAAAAGAGACCAAGTAAAATGATAAACGATGAAGGTCACGTGCTGAATCCCGACATCTAAGTGCCAAATGCCTAGTAAACAACTATCTCGCTCCGGTAAAAGAAAAGCGCAGCGTTGTCGCTATTCTGTTCTTTGTAGTACTCTCATGGATGGAAGATGTGGTGATCAGACATCTCAAAGCTTGCTTCCAAGCGCATTGCAGCTTAAAGCCTAACGATTTATTACCGTGATGTAGGCTTCCACCTAGATTCAAACAGCCTGAAAATATGACTATCGCCTTTTTCTTAGCTAAATTACCAGGTGACAGCCAGACGAAGCACCTGCCTAAAAGCCAGGTGCTAAGCGTGTGTACAGCTTTTCGTCAGCTGGAGCCATTTTTGGCGCACGACCACCACGCAAATCTCTGAAGAATAACATCCAGCGCAACAACCTTGTACCATCTCGCTTCTTTGCTTAGTACTTCGCTGCGTTCGAATATCAGCCACAACATTCCTGCCGTGTACGTGGCCTTGAGGACTGCGGTCGTGTGTTCAGTAAGTAGGAAAAGAATACCGTTGTATTCTGACTGTCACAGACGTATGCATGTTCGAGTAAAATAACGCCACCGGCGGACACCGGGGCAAGTGACATGGTCGCGATACGTGTATGGTTGCTATTTTGAAGTTTTATGTATGAAGCCGTACGTTGCTGTTCTAAAGACTAGCAATTGGAGGTCGATGAGTGAAGTGATGAGCACATTTTAGTTGCAAGCCACAAGCGGACAGTTAGTTACAAGTAGAACCTTTTCCAGTACGAGGAGATCTTTTTTAAATCATATTCGTCTGTACATGACTAAAACTTATGATCAGCGTTATATGGATCATATGCACAATGAGGCCTATGGTAGTCTCGAATTTCCTTTGTTTTTAGGTATTGCATTGCCTTGTTTAACGTGATGGTCGTTACGGATCACCAGCGGTCAAAAGGGTGTAACAGCTTATCCATAATTTATAACTTCAGTATCACCGACAAGAAGCTATACGCTTATCGCTAATTTATAGCTTCTTGTCCGTAAATACTCACGATGCCATTCGATACGGTCGAACTGGTATGCCCGAAGGCGTGAATGCCCACTCCCCAGTGTCCGAGTCTTCATCATCTTCTTCTTCGACCAACTTGCTGTCCACAACGGACCTAGTCTGGCGATACGACTGTGGTTTCGACAATGCCTGCCGCGTTGTGACTCCAACAATGCTTGTGGTGTCGGACTGCAGACGTCTTCTCCCTAAGCTTGTTTGTGTCTTTTGCAACATTGTGCGAGTAGGAAGTTTGGCTTTCTCGAGGCAAGAGAAGCAGATGTACATGGGGACAAGACCGATAGCATGCAGCTCTACCAGCTCCTTGGAAACACAGGATCTGCACATCACGTGACCGCACGAGTGGCAATTAACGCGGCTCGAGAGCACTTGGAGCTGCCTCTCACACTGTTTGCAGCTCTTCGCAGACATCTTAGATGCCCACTCCGTCTTCATCACGAACGTGCGCGAGTCCAGCTGCTTGCGACGAAAATGCGAACAAAGGCGGGTGACGGTCGTGCCGGACTTCTCCATTAACATTTTGGTGGTAAGCCCTGGTGAAAAACCACCATGCTCTAAACCAACCATGTACACAATCTTCGTGTAGCTTTCATTTGGATAACCAGTTGTCGACTGTCGTGATCGTCGAAAGAAATAGCCCGAACGAAACATGATGCTAGGCTCAAACTTGTTGGTAGCCTTCTCAAACTCTGGACCGTCAACAGTTTCCCACAGACAATAGCCGATGGTTGATCCATCAGATTGGTGGATCATATCCGTGGCGACGGCAATGCATACCTCTCGGGCTGCCGTTAACCCTGGGCTTCGAAAGGACGTGTATTGCACGTACATGGAGTTCATTTGTCGCTCTTTAGTTGGCCGACGCAGCACAGACAAAACTTGAGTCTCCAGTAGGCTGTCTGATAGTATTCGTTTGGTCCGAGCCATTGAGTCAGCGTCAGACACGACAAACAGCTTCATAATTTCATCCACCGTGGCGTGGGTGCGGCTCACACAGCAAAATCGTGTTTGTCCAGGCTTGACACTGGTCTCATCCACATAGTACGAGATATCTTTCTTTTGGAACTTAGGCTTCCACTGTACGTTGCTGGCATTTTCCGATAGCATCGACGCCATTACGCACTGCACAAATTCATTTACACGTATGATAATCTCGCGACGACGAGTCGGCGATAGCTCAATGTACGACTCGCTGCTACTGTTGCTGTCGCTACTCGCAGATTTGTTGCTTTGGTGTCGCTGGAGAGGAGGAAAGCCTGCTGGAATCTGTTGCGATGATCGTGGAATTTGCTGCGCTGGTGGACTATATGCTTGCTTACTGGGAACGGTGTCAGATGGGTGTAGAGCGCGACCAACAATATGTTTCGAAATCTGCCGCGACTGTCGAACACGCTGTCCCGAAATTTGCTGCGACTGTCGACGTAAGTGTCGACTTTCCTGAACACCATCGGGGCAACGTTCAAAGGTCGGTAATGGCGGTAATGGCGGTCCTAACCAATGCTCAAAGTTGTTGTCATAGTGGTTAGCCATTTCTGTTTTAGAAAGTCCCTGTGGACGAAAACGCCCTGAGGGATGACGAATGGTCGTCAAGTTTCCTTGGGGTGACCGTGCAAGTGTAGAAGACTGCCGTCGAGGCTGCGGTCGTGAATGCGGTTGAAGCTGCTGAGGTGGCCGTAAGTTTTGTGCTAAAGACTGTCGCGGTTGTGGCCGTTTCTGGGTGTGTTCGGGTGGTTGCAAAGGTTGTTGAGATTGCTGAGAGTGCCGCGTTGGTCTCGTCGTCCGAACGAGTGGACTCATGGTCCGTTTAATAGTCTGCTCGACAGGCGAAAGGGTTTGGTCATAATTGCTGGTCCTTTGGTTTGTAACGTGCCTCGACGGCCGTGTCAGGAGCTTGGCATCGCTCTTTATCTCCCCATAAGGCCACTTCAGCAAGTCTGACGTAACAGTCGACGACGTTGTCCATCCATCCTGAGTGCTCATGGTGAATCAATGCTATTGAAACTAAACCCAAGAATGTATACGAAGCTAAAGTGCGTTTTCACTTGTGACAGCGACAGACGTCGTAGACCGTAATCTCTATCCTGCAGATGTGCTGTCCAGCTCAATGATGTAATCTTATCCTAGACAAGGTCTTTTGCAGAATATCTCCACAAAAGCAGGGACAGGCGCTCTCAAGCCCAACACTGACCACCGTAGCCAATCCAACTAACGTAATGCCATCAAACTGACGCATTACCTGCCACTCTTTCTCAATGACTCCAACTAGTTCAACTGTTACTGTCATTCTGCAGGCTGTGCCAGGCTTTATTTGTGCCACTCATTATGCTATTTTCGGTGGGTTGCATGCTCGTGGTCGGTGTAGCTCCGGTCTTAGGCTATAAATAACATGTACCTGGCCCGAGTGGATACCTTCTACACATATAAACTCTACTGTCAGCTTAATCTCAGAAAATAATCGGTGAAAAGAATCCTGCCTGCTATTATTCTCGCTTCTACATATCGCCATTCACTCTATCCTGCACTTATTCATCGGATAAGGTCTACTTTAACGTTTACATTAAATTCGTCACTAACTTAACATTTTGCCTGGGTACTAATTGCTCGTCTGAACATAGAGCTTAGATATCCCAACAATAGAGATTAGATACTGTACGATATCCGGATATACATGGTGTATAATGCTCTAAGGTTTGTTTACGTCCAATATTTCCTGACACTGTCTTTGTGCACGAAGCAGGTCACACCCTCGCTGAAATGACGTGTACCGTCTACCAGCGGCATCCCAGGCTTCTTTGTCGTCATAAAAACTGCACACTAAAGTTTGCTCGTTTTTAACGTCCTGAGGAGACACATGCGACAACTTCTCGTCCATTCATTTTCCCGTCCTATCGTAAGGTTGTTAAATACAATTTTCCTATCAACTTCTTCGTCGTCGTCGTCCGTCTGCATTTTAATCTTGTTAACATGCCCCTCATAACCCGTTGAAGTCTTTGTTAAAAGACGCTGGCGTTTGTGTTGTTGCTCCCTGGCGCACTCACGACAATCACAGAATTCATGGACGTATCGAATACCAACACTGACAGCTTGCGGAACGAAGAAGAACCAAGATGTCTCTCGCGTGCCTGATGTCGCGTCCAAGAGTGATGGTTCTCTTTTTGAGCGACTGCACTCTGGAACCTTCAGCGATAGTGGTTCAAGTGAAGTAAAACTTTGGGGTGTAATAGACTAGAACACTTGATGTCTGTAAGGATAAAAAGATTTAGCAAAATGTTCTAAGCAATGCAGGATATAGGAATTCTTTTAGCCATGAAGTGAGTTGAACGAAGGCATTAAAAGTGTCAATTTATCAAGTCGAAGGAGGGATTTAATCGGCGACATTGCAAAACCTCATGTTAAATTTTTTAGGGTAGCCATTCATGGGTCCTATTAAGACTATGGCCGATAACGGACAATCTCATGATCCGAGATTTGTCTTCAACATTTGATTGATTAGTTGTGTGTGTGATGAATTTGGTATATATTTCAGTAGTCGTCTAGGGCCTCAAGATCGTTGAACACAACAGATTAAGAGTGATAAGATTCTGATGAAAAAACTAAGGTAATTGCGAGCATGTAGGTTATGTACAAGGATCTAAACGTGAAGTTTTGCTCGATCGACGACGTAAACTTAACGCTACACGAACAGATAAAAAATACCATCGAGAGCGACATGATCATTAGCATGCACGGTGCTGGTCTCGCGAATGTAATTTGGACACGTCCGATGACTACAGTGGTGGAGATTTTCCCGAAGTAGAAGAAATGTTGGGGTTATCGAAATATGTGTCAGTTCGTGGGTTGCGACTGGCACCAATTTCGCGGTGGTCAGGACGTTATTTTAACAAAGACGACCTAAACGATGTGAATAAGGTCATCCCGTACGACGAGTGGATGGCTTTCTTCCACCCGTTATTCCAAAAAGTCTACGGCGCTTTTAACGAGCAACAAGCATTGTTACGCAGAGAAGCATCGTAAAAAATGGCGGTTATTTGCGCAGACCATATACTCCAGCTTTCTTTAACACTTATATTCTAGACCGCCATGGAGGATGAACAACGCGAGCATTGGCTTATTTTGACGAAGCAGTAAAGCGAAATAGTACGAATGTGACCTCAATCAAGAAGAAGCCCTCGGTAAGGTGATACTGGGAGTACTTGAATGCAGGGCTGTAGAGTGAATGAAGCGTTACTCTCTCTTTCTTACGTTTGTTCAAGTACTTCATTAAACCATATGTGAATTGCATTGATATATATTCTCTAACGTTGACAATTACGTGTCGGGGTTTCTAATGTGTATGTGTGTTGCAAAGTATTGCAGGTGCTAGCGTCGTAGCAAGTTCTGAATTGGCGGCAGCAACTTAATCTGCCTCAAAAAAATTCCTTCAATACATGAAGGTCTCTTGAGTATTAGCATTTGTGCTGGTGGTACTGAGTGATGTTGATGTTGTTGTGCACCTGTGCAATGTACTGCTTCTCTTCGAAATGCAACGTGCACAGGTGGTCGGTACGTTCGTAGGCCGGACATGCACAGCCCTCCATGGCGCAGCGCTTGCCACCACCGTGGGCCCAGCAAACACCGTTGGATACGGAGATAGTTGTGCAGCCAAGGGTCGGCGCAGAGTGTACCACCGCCATGGGACCAGCAGACACCTTTAGTCTTGGCGCGGTTGGCGCAGTCCGGGACCTTGCACTTGACCGAGCCACCGTGGCGCCAGCAGCGACGTGCATGTTTGGCTCGACTTGTGCAGCCGTCAACTCATGCAGTACTTGCTGCCTTTTTTGACGACCGTGCCATTTGCGAGCGCTATTCCAGCCTTGCCTGATACTTTCGAGCTACCATTGGACACACTGATATTCTGGAGCCGGCGGCGTTTTGCGATTTTGCATTGACCAGAGGGAGGTGCCACTACTGGAGCAAATGTCTTGTTTGATGATCCTCGCTGCGGCGAAGTCCATGGGAACGAAGGCAACAACACTGGCTTCGCGATGACCTTGTCGTTTGACAGGATGAAATCAAGAGAGCACTTGTTGACCGGCTTTGATTGCAATTTTGGTTTGAGGCCAAGCAGCTGTGGCATCTCGATGAAGCTTTGCTGGGAAAGCGGAAGGAATGTGCGGAAGGACATCATTATGGTGATGTTAGGGAGGGAATCGTTGTACTCCTGTGGTAGAGTGGAAAAACTGAGATGTGGGATTTCTGAGCAGTGGACGTGAGATCACCGAGAGCATTTTGTGTGCTGGGTTGACTAACTGTTCAGTCGCGAAGGGACCCGAAAGGCGTTGCTTGACATGGAATATTCCACTTGACATGCGTTATCCGTTGCTGGCGTCCTTTTTGTTATCGCCTGGCCTCGTGGTGTCATAAGGTCAGCACTGTAGCAACCGTGCCGCTCCAAAAACTAATATGCAGCCCCTACCACAACAGACAAGGCAAACGGATGCCTCGACCGATAAAATGTTACAATCAGTGTTAAGCCTTCTAGTCAGGAGCATGCTTGGTGTATTGTATATCGACATGTATCGCTTGGTCTCTTCCTCCCTATCAGCGGAAGCAGTTTCTTACGCGCTTTCGTAGACCGTTTTTCTCTTGTAAGTAGAGGTCAGTCCAGGTCGCTGTTAACAGGGTGGAAGAGACTACTTGGTCGCGACTGGTGCGCTATTTGTCTTTAGTATTGTGCGCGAAGAGGCACGAAACTGAACTTGAAGTTATAGTACCACTCCCACCGTTGAATCGTACAGCTTCACGTACTTTACGTTCACGTACATGTATATCAAGTCAACCGTAACCTGGGTCGTTGAGACAAGAGACGCGAAAACGATACTAGGGGCGAATAAGCAAACACCATGATACTGGTGTGTTGCCTAGGGGCAAGTTGCAAAGTGTGTCATGTTTCCAGCCAAAAACGAAGAAGGTGCCAACCTAATGATAGGCCGGTCACAAAAGTCGCAAGTAAAGAAGTTGCTTTGTGCCAGGAATGGCTTCGTTATAGCACATACGGGTAAAAAAGTGGAGAACCATCATGTTCGTATGAACAGCAGGCTGGAACAGGATGATCTTCCCTGCGTCTAGCAATTGAATGCTAGTTCGTAGAGGATCGTAGCTGACTCGCTCGCCATTGTTTTGGTCAGTCGTGACCACTTATTGTGAAGCCATTCGTAGATCCTGTAGGTAGCCGTTACTAAGTTTGTGCTTGGAATGTGCAAGCTGACCTCCTTGAAAAAGTCGTCGTACGTGACCGCGCAAGCCGTTAAAGTCCTTTCCTTCAAGTTTCGACAAATGCCTCTTCCTGACCCGATATCTCATTTCTCATGGGCGCATATACACAACAGCTTCAACCAATTCTCGAATTTGAAATGCCTTCGCACTGGACGCAATCAGTGCTGATGTGGTTGCCGTGCCATCATTAATTCATTAAGTTTTCTGTAGCTATTCCTAGGATGAAGTGACGCTATGAACAATGACAAGATGACTTGTTTGTTGTTTGTTATCGTATGTAATATGCAACGTTAATTGCGCTTTGCCAAGCTGAACTTTTGTGGTCCGACCTCAGCTCAGAAAACTGAACCATGAAACGACCCGAGCACGATGTCTTCTTAAACTGACAGGCGACACGGGAAGTTTCCTACAGGTTTTGTCTATAGTCTTGCGGGGCATCGGAGTGGTGACAGCTTGTTGTTTACTTCAGGAAGGCAGAAGTACAGAATAAGCGCTTCGAAGATCCACGAGACTCCGTGCTGCTCTAGCGCAGTCTTTTGTGTCTTAGAAAATCCGCTATTGCCAAGAGAGCTCTTAGTGGCACTTTGACTTGAGATGCAAGTTTTGTGGCATGTCCGGAATTTCGATCCAAGAAAATTGTTTTGCTCCTCATGCAATTTCTCGTTCTCCTATCAATATCTGCAACGTCTTTTCGAAACGAAGCAGCTTTTGTGCGTTGTACCTGCCTATGTAGATGGATTCATATGTCAAGAAAGATTTTCTGGTTCTGATAGACGGAAGGTGTCGACGGCTTCGTCTTCGTCGTGAGACGTTAGTAAGTAGGTTGTGGTGACGGACGCAGATGAATCTGACCATTTGCACGAAGAAAGTTATACGGACGAGAAACCCGCTTCACCCTTCGTTCTTGTATCAGCCCAAAAACGTACGAGTTTATCTCTTGGCGACAGACATTTGCGTCATGCACGACCTCCAAGAAGTAAGTCCTTTTTGTCCATACGTCTCTAGTGGGCTCAATTACGGAGCATTACTGAGGACCTTGTGGCTGTTTCTGTAAGAGTGCGTGCCTTACATGAGCAGAGAGGCTTTTACAGAGAACAAAACGAGGCAATACGTTGCGATATATTCTACTCCAAAAAGTAAGTAGGCGGCTCTGTCCACACGCTTTTGCGTGGATCCTACTCGGTTGCTCGATGCGACTATGACAAATTGTTGTAGCTAACTAGGTCAGGACACTGTCAGGTATTTATTACTGCTCGCTGGTCTACACTGCACTATCTTCCAGAACCTCCTCCTCTGTTCGAAGCCCTGACTTGTCAATGATTCATATCTACTACGCCGGAATCGACATATATGACTATTGCTAAGTGCTACCTACAACACAAATCCAGTGGTGTAACATGCAGTACCATTATTTCTTAAGCAACTCTTCTTGACGTTCCTGACAATGATCGACGCCCGATCACGAAAAATCTTAACGAGAGGCCTATTCAAATGGTTCATTAGATATTACCTTCATCTCGCCTATTATGTCGGGGCGTCGAACAGAGAACTGGCTCAAGGCCGAAAAGAGTCTTGACGTCGTTTGAAATATTTTAGAGTTGATCGGGCTGACCGGCAATGCTCTCAACTCAGCTTAGAATTACAAATTATGTAAGCACGTTAAGAATGATAAATGTAACAGGCTAATAGTTACACGGTTCGTTAAGTAACGAATACTTAACGGGGAGGTCTAATAGACCTCAGACCTGCCACTTGGGTGCAGCACATCAATGTGACCCACCCTCGTGAATGTGATATCCATGGATAGATTAACATTCAACAGGGATGACGCCCAGTTGCGAATAGGCGTCATGGTGACGTCAAACAGACGTCACCAGCGAGCTTAGATATATTTTCAAGCTCGCACGTAGTGATACGCTTCTAAAGAGACGCGTATCCGATCTTTACGTTTAACCAATCAGTAGTTAGATTTATATTTAAATATTTCTATTAAATATAAATCCGTCTTGAATTTTCTAACTAACGCTCACTGCCCATGAGAAGCTGAATAAGCTTTTGAGTGGCGCAAGTGAAGCACTTTTTAGAAGTTCGATGCGCGGTTCGCTTCGGCGACTCGCAACGGTTAGTACAACCGCCTAAGCTGTCGACCAAACACCCCACCACCGTTTAGCCGCTTACTCGCGTTTTTAAAGGTGTATGCCAAATTAGTACGTGGCGGATTCCTAGAAGTGCCACTATACACTTGGTACTAGCATTCCTTCTCACGAACCATCTCTCTGAGCGTGCGTGTGAGTGCAGGGACTTGGTAAACAATCCCTGGCCAACCTCTTGAATTGTCCTCCTGGGCAACATGTTGCTCAGTTTTAGCAATTTGAGGCGTACGTGCTCGGACAGTGCAGACATGCGTCCGAGGCAAACATCCAAGATACGGCTGAGTTCATTAATAAGACTCAGGATGAGCTCTGTTGAGCAGGCTCGGAATGAGGCGCTCAACAGATCTGTTCAAATGATCTCTGCCCGGTCTAACCAGCTGGGGCCCATGCGGATGGACCCTCCGAAGTTCGATGGAACTGCCCTACATACGTTTGCAACTGGCTACTATCAGTGGAGCAATGCGGTATGGCGCAGCTCATCGAAGACGACACTAGAATGCTGTCGTATAAAGTTTGCGTGGCAAAGCGTCAGCTCTGCGCATATGGTAAAACGCGAACCGTTTCTATCATGGCCGATCCTTAAAACAAATACTGTAACGGAGCTGAAACGATTGTTTTTGGCTTTCACGCGCGCTTGAGGAAGACTCTGGCTCAAGCATTATGTACTAAGTAAATGTATTTCTATTTTTATTTTTATGAATTCGTACTATTTACGAAGATTTTAAGTCGTAATAAATACGGTAATGTTCCCGCCTTTCGGAAACCACACATTTTTTTCCAGGTTATTTATCATCGGCCCATATTAGGTTTTTAGCCCCAAATATATACCAATAATAAATTGCCACGCTGTGCCCGCTATTCGGACCCAGCACCTGTCTACATATATTATTGTTTATTTTTGTTAACTATATGCGTAATGTAGCCCATTACATCACCCCCTTCTCATGACAGCACTCACCAACCGTGAGTGCTCAACTGTCGAAAACCCGTCGCTCACAAACGAACAAGCAATGTCCGGAGACCCAGCACCCAATCCAGCATCACTCCCAAGCACCATCAGTGGGAGTACAACAACTAGCATCATGGCGCGGCAACTCATACCTTGGTCACTGTACGACTTGTCCGGAGTCCACGCTCCGGACTCGCTGGACACGATGCGGGACTACTTCCGCCGATTTCGAAAACTGCGCGGGAAGGGTCTTGATGGAATCGGGTATGAAGCCCTGCAACGTTCTTGGTGTGCCTTCATCCAACGTTGGAATCGGATGCTCGAGGAAGGTAGCAGCTTCCAACTATGGCTCGCCAATCGAGAGGAGCTTCGCGCCGATCACTCCATCGGCGCGCTACGCGAAAGAGTGTGTGAGGATGCTTGGAATGAGGACCGCCTCTGCTTCGTTCATGTCAATGAAGAATGCCGGTCTTGTGACTCGACTCCACGCTCAACTCATGACGAATGGCGACGACACATCGCTGAGTGTCCACTCAGTGATCGGGAACGAAGTTGGATTGCAAAGTATGAGCGAAGTCTGAGCGAACGGAGAAGCGCCGTTATTCGTGGTGCGCCTCGCTGGCAGCACCACTCGCGACAGCAGAGTCAATCTCCGCGGAATGATCAGCGCAGGGCAGCGACACGTTCGCCTGCCCGTCCTGCTGCGCGATTCTCGCCTCGCAATCGTGATATGTATTCACCACGACGTTCTCGTTCACGGCATCGTTCTCGCTCACGACATCGTTATCGTTCTCGACGACGTGGATCTCC